AGAGACCTTCTCGGAAGCCGCTTCGGTCGGTCCGTCTCGTTCGCCCACGGCGAACAGCTAGTGGACGCGGGCGTTTATTTCCCTGAACCCCTGCAGCCGCCGTCGTCCTACGATAGCAGCCGCACGACGGACTGCGTTGATCCTTTTTCTTTGGTCATTTCTAGAACTTGTGGGCGCAGGAGTTGTATACCAGCAGGAACCGATGGAACAATACACCAAAAATTTGGCGCGAGGGCAAAGGGAAGGATGGCGGTGGAAACACTCAAGACGCAGAGTAGGAGGCATCTTATAGGGAGCGTCCTGGGGGGTTTTCTCTCTGTCTTTGTACGGACTTTTTTTTTTTTGTCTTGCTAATCTCCTTTCCTTTACTTCATCGCCGTCGTGCCGCAGTCAGGCACGCAAGTTTCAATAGACGTCATACATCATTCTTCATGGCCCATGTTATCTGCAGGTTGTAGGTGAGATGATGTTGCCTCGAAAGCATGATCACATCCTGGTTGTGTATACTGTTTTGCAAATTAATTCAAACGCGCAAAACGGATAGCTCCTTGCATAGACCTACCCAACCGCCCCCTGGACGTCTTTCCAAAGATATTTCAAAAGCGTTGACGAACGACGAGGGCCATAGGCGCGCTCGGAAGTGACATCGCCAACGGAGGGAGCAATAGCAAGCGGGAGTTGCGTGTTCGTGTTTGCTCGTTCGAAAATATTCGTCACTGGCAAGCTTGTGCGATGGGACCGTTCCATGAGACGGTCCATGAAATCTGTTCAATGCGCGGTCATGTATAGTCGTGTGAAATCCCAACTCGAAAGGTCTATCATGCAGCAGCAGGGACATGTATGATATCCATGTCGCCCCGCAGGCCTCGGGTGGTGATGACTTTTGGCTCATGTACTCGAGGAGGGGCTTCCAGTGTCTGAGTCCTTTTTTGGAGTTCAATACTCATCTCCTCGCTACCGGCATGTATATGCTTACTTCATTGTCCGGGAGGGCAAGGAGTGGGCTAATGTCGCAACTCTGAGGCATCCTTGCGTGCTATTTCCCCGGACATTGAGGCTCAAATGGAGAGATAAGGTCCCCTATCCGTCCTGCTGGGGGAAAAAAAATACAACTACATGCGATGCTCTGCACCAACCGCCCGCGAGACGGGTGTAGATGAATACCTGGTCGGCCCTTGATTCCCTTACTTGATTCCTTGCCGAGGTCCGTGATTGCTTGAGATGTCTCGTCGATAATGGTGCTCTGACTGGGCAAATCGGTGCAAACACTCTCCAGCTGCGACTCTTTTTTTGGCAGATGTAAATCGAGCGTGTAGTAGGATACGTCACTCAACTTCCCATCTCCAGTGTACCGTCTTAGGGGCAGATACGAGGCGTCCCATATAGATGGAAACTGCTAGGTATTCTGACACTTATCGAGGATGCCGTGGCGCGGCGAAGGAAAACAGTTGGCATCCTGGCCTGTCAGGCGAAACCATCTTATTCCATCTCAACTTCGTCTGTTTATTGATTGTAGGTCACCGAACCTCATCTCACCCCGTGTTATCGCTCTATGCACCGAATTGTACCCGACTGGTGACCTGACGGGTGTTCATGAATCGGCAAATCAAGACCTTCCTTTCTAGACTAAAGGCCTACCATATACACCATGGGAAATTACAGTCTGAAAAAAAAAAAAAAAAAAAAAAAAGAACTCCCAGCTCTCATATCACAAAGTGTATATCCTGAGCGTTCAGTGGGCATGGGCAATTCTTGAGACCTCAAGGGAATATAGTATTTGTACCTGCTACACCGCAACTTCATCCCCTCAGACCAAGGATCGACAAATTAGCCAAGGCACGCCAGTTGAGAAATAACCAGGCGTGAGATGTTTGACTCGGATCGGGCGATTGACGTGGACAATAGGCTGCCCAGCAGGTTAGCACATGCACCAGCTACGCTGGTGCAAGTTTGCTTGCGCGCCTGCTTATGAATCCACGCACGCTCACGCGAGGTGCAACTCTGCAAGGCGCGTGGGATGAGAGAACTCCGCGACTGTGTGTCAAATCGGGCATGTAGGTGCGGAGGTGCGGACGAAGAGTAGTAAAAGCTCTACGCTACACGGTCAGTGTAAGCACCTCGGCCGAATTGGTCCAAGACCTTGGTGGCCTTGTCAAAGACGGAAGAGCTGATGGCAACATAACTCCAAGACCGACGCCCAAATAGCTGGCAGAACCCATCCCGATTTGCGATTGTTTTCGAGACAGTCTGAAGTCGTGTGACACAGCCACACTGCAAAAGATCTGCACTCGTCCGAAAACCGCGGGTAGGTAGGAATACACCACAGTATCGAGTGTGAGTGGTCTGCTAATCCAAGCCTCGAGCACTTTTTTACCTGTTTAGGCTTGTCAGTCCAGGACTTCGGGTTGGCTGGTGGCGGGGCCGGCTCCGAAGGGGTGGAGCCGGTGGTGACGGGTAGCCGAATCCTACCTGCCCCCCCCCCCTACGATGTCCTTTTGCAAACTGCTCAATTTCCCGTCTGCAACTTTGTGCAATTTTCATAAAACATTATCCAATACAGAAACGTTGGGGCTTGTGCAGTGTGTCGAATCAATTTCAAATTGCCTGGTTATCTCATCAACATACTCCGTACGGATACCATACATTGTAGATGTAAAACGGTAAAGTAGTAGCATGTCGGAGTTGGCGAAATCCATACGCTAGGGAGTCCGGATATTACGCGTATTCACAGTAGGCCTGGCTAAGCTTCTTACTTGCTAAGATAGGCTTTCGAGAGGCCAGACGATGGTGGCATGGGCCGTTCTGGGGCTTAAGTCCTTGCCGACTAAGTCCGCTAGTCCCCGGTAAGATCGGGACCGTTTCGGCCAAACACCTAATACTAGCTGCCACTGAAGTGATTTTGGTGCCACGATGGCGGGGAGAAATGGGTCGTCTGCAAACTGAGGTGGTGTGGAGTCGTGTTTTCTGCTGCTCTCCTCTTTCCCTAAAAGGTAATGGAAAAGGTTTGACGAGGACGAGGGGTTAAGGTTCATCAGTCTTTGCCAAGAGTAGCTTATTCGCAGGCCCATGATCCATCGAAAGAACGAACGCAAGAGAAACCTTGCTTCAGTTCAACTCTGATGTGACAACTTCGGCTGATTGTCGACCCTGACGGTCTTACGCGGCTCGGCGAAGCTCGTCTCGATTCCGGTTTGGGCAGGCCACGCGGCCGGCGAAAGACAGCCCGAGTATTACATTTTTTGCATTTTTTTTTCTTACCCTCTTATCTTTTCCAGGGTCGTTTGATGAATCATGGATCCATCCACTGCAGCGGATGTGGGTGCGCCAACGATCTTTCCACGAGGGTGGTACCTAGGCTCCAGGGATGGGCGCTGGATGCATGCAAGCGTTTTGCCGGCCAGCTTGGACCGCTATCAACACCAGGCTTCTGAAAGGGTTCGTCTCCGGTGCCCGGGATACCTAGCATCAGCGGGTCCAGCTGCGACGAATTCTCTTTGAGCAGACGACAACGAGTGTGTTGTGTGGAAGGTGCCACAAATTCCCTGGAACAATCCGCAAGTTTACCTGCTGCGTCGCTTGTGTGAGTCGCAGTTGGTTGCTGTCTGTAAGGACGGGGTTCGCCACTCGCCGCAAACAATTTTCAGATGGATGGAGCGCATAGTTGAACGTTCATCTGATTGAGGAGCACAAGAGATGCTGAGTCTCTGCCGGCCTGCGAATACGAGGAGGACTTCCGCGATAGGGGGCATTTCGAGCTCGATAAAGTACGTTGAAGGCTTAATCGCAGAATCGGGAAAAATCAGTGGAAGGTTGATCGAAACAGGATGGTAAGAAATCGAGCTTCTGGCCACACCTGTTGTCGGTTATGCTTAAGACTGAGGTGTCAGCACCAAGCAGCACCTCATTGTTAGCTCAGCTTTTTTGTCCACCGCCTCGTCAAACCGTTGCCAGTCCGGTCCTGTCCCAGACACAGTTGCATCGGCTAAAGAGTGGCCGCTTAAAATCCGAAGGTGCGTGTCTGAACCGACTCACCGAGTTAGGCTTCTGCTGCTTTGCATGCTGCCAGTCCAATCCTTCCTGCATCGATGGGAGTCACTTGCGCTTGCCGGGTACCTTTGGTTTGGCCACCTTCTTGCCTTGTGCTGGTCATATCGTGGCATCCCTGTCTCCTCCTGCCCTCCTGCCCTCCTGCCCCATCCTGTCCCGTTTCGTCCTCTGTGCAGTTGCACTTTCTTTCCCACCGGAACCAAGTCCACCCCAACTTGTTTATCCCCATGGATATCGAGCAGTCGCAACTGGAGTGCAGCTACCTCTCACTCTACTACCTAGGTACGCCAGTAGAGGTTGCAGGACGCATGTCCTTCATCCTGGATGGTACCCATGGTCACAATGGCCCAGTCACCTCCACTATCCGGATGCTTGAAATCCCCTTCGGAGAGTAAAGCGACTTGGAAAGTCCCGTCTCCCTGACCGGGACAATCTAATCCATCGGCGTGCCCATCTACTGCAGGCCGTCCCGTTTTGTTCACATCCATCTGTCGGTAGTACTCATCATTACACGCACTTTTTCTCTCTGTTGAGAAACGCGTAACTGACCAACTCTGACTCCCTCTTGTTTTTGCTTCCGCCAGCCTTTGTCCCTGTGCCCTCGTCCCTCCACGCGGACCTTGACGAAGCGCCCTGCTCCAATTCCTTCGGACTTCGTCACTACTTCGAACGGATTTCGACAGCTTTCCTTCACTGTTTGTAAGCGGGTCTAGGGCGCGCACATCTAGTCAACCCATAATAAGCTAGTCTGCCCAAGTGACGGACACAAACATCGATCCGCTTCAAAGCAACAAGCGCATGGCAGCTTGGCTCAACATCTAATTTGCCTCCTTGGCGCTTAACTTGTAACGGAATCCATCGTCATCGCCCATATCAAGACGGCGGTCAAGCCCTGCTGCCCGGTTTGAAGTTGAATCTCTCTACTGAGACTCACTTGAGTCTTTCGCCAGAGAATGGCAGACAAGAACGAGAAAACAAACATTACGGCTCCCGATCCACAAGCCGCTGCTGTTGAACCCGTCACACCCAGGGACCCAGAAGATGCCACGTTCGCCATTGATGTCGACAAGGCATATGAGAAGGATGAAAACCCAGACTTTGATGAGAAGAAGATCAGGCCAGAGCTGAGGGCGACCAAAAGCCATGCCACCGATACCAGCGTCGCCACCACTACTGCTACCCGTCGACAACCAGAAAGCAAACCATGGTACAAGACGCCAAATCCCCTAAAATGGGGTGGCATTCCTCCCGTTCCCGATGAGAAAATTGTGTCCCGAGAGTACAAAGCCGGCTTCCTCAGTCTCTTGACTTTCCAATGGATGGCCCCTCTGATGAGTGTAAGTGAAAAATCGTTGGTCTCGCCTTAGGATAGGAAGGCTTGAGCCGTCCATTTCAAGCCCAACTTCAAATACACCAAGAAGGGGGGGACAATACTGATTTGTTTTCCAGGCCGGATACAAGCGGCAGCTTGAACCCAACGATATCTGGGCTGTCAATCCAGACAGGGCCACAGATGTCATGACAGACAAATTGAAAGCTTCTTTCAAGAAACACATCGACAATGGAGACAAGTATCCCTTGCTGTGGGCAATGCACGAGACTTACTTCTTCGAATTTTGGCTTGGTGGCATGCTACAGCTCGCATCGACCATCTTTCAGGTCATGTCACCCTTCACCCTGCGCTATCTCATCCAGTTTGCGAACGATGCCTACGCAGCTTCTCAACAGGGCTTGCCGCCTCCTGCGATCGGGAGGGGGATCGGCTTGGTGATCGGTGTAACCGTCATGCAGATTCTCCAGAGTTTGGGCACGAATCATTTCATCTACCGCGGCATGATGATTGGCGGCCAGTCAAGAGCAGTGCTCATCAGCTTAATCTTTGAAAAGTCCATGTCTCTGTCTGGACGTGCCAAAGCTGGTGGTCTCAAGGACTCCGCCAACTCTCCGCAAGTAGATGAGAAAGGCAAGAAGAAGGCCCAAAAGAATGCGAAGAAGGGAGAAGCTAAAGGTCCTGGCATTTCCGGAGATGGCTCAGGATGGGGTAATGGCCGAGTTGTCAACCTCATGAGCGTCGATACATACCGTATCGATCAAGCGTCCGCTCTGTTCCACCTGACGTGGACCGCGCCAATCTCCTGCTTGATCACGCTCGTCGTCCTGCTCATCAACTTGAGCTATAGTGCTCTTGCCGGATTCGCTCTCTTGGTCGCTGGTATTCCCTTACTGACAAGAGCCATCAGAAGCTTGTTCAAGCGGAGAAAGTCCATCAATAAAATCACGGACCAGAGGGTAAGCTTGACTCAAGAGATCCTGCAATCAGTCCGTTTCGTCAAGTACTTTGGGTGGGAGACCGCGTTTCTGGACCGTCTCAAGGAAATTCGAAAACGGGAAATCCACGCCATTCAGATCTTGCTGGCAATCCGAAACGCCATCAACGCCGTCAGTATGTCGCTGCCCATCTTCGCCTCCATGCTTTCCTTCATCACTTATGCAAAGACCAACAACGCTTTGAACCCCGCCGAGGTCTTCTCCTCGTTGGCTCTTTTCAATGGTCTACGAATGCCGCTCAACCTCCTGCCGCTAGTCCTCGGTCAAGTCGTCGATGCCTGGTCGTCTCTGAAGCGTATTCAAGAGTTTCTGCTGGCCGAGGAGCAGGAGGAAGATGTGGTTCTCAAGCCAGAGGGAGAGAACGCCCTGGAGATGACAAATGCCAGCTTCACCTGGGAGCGGACTGCAACGCAGGAGTCCGAAAAGACTGCGGACGGTGTCACTAAGGGGGCTAAGAAGGGTACTACGCAGGCTCCTGCACCCGCAAAGAATGTCTCCAAGCCTGATGAGCCACTGGCCTCATCTGGTGATAGTACGGGAGACGGTGCCAGCACACTTGTCGAAGAAGAGCGGGAACCTTTCAAGCTGCACGGCATCAACTTTGAGATCAAGAGGGATGAGCTTGTCGCAGTCATTGGGACAGTCGGGAGCGGCAAGACTTCGTTGCTGGCCGCGCTCGCAGGCGACATGAGGAAAACATCCGGCGAAGTCGTGCTTGGTGCTTCCCGAGCTTTTTGCCCTCAATATGCCTGGATTCAGAACACCACGGTCCGGGACAACATTCTCTTCGGGAAGGATATGGACCGGGCATGGTACCAAGAAGTCATCAACGCGTAAGTAAAACCATGGCAGTATCCCGTGCCAAGATTTAGACTGACCTGGCTCTAGTTGTGCTCTGCGGCCCGATCTTGCCATGCTTCCGAACGGAGATTTGACAGAAATTGGCGAACGAGGAATCACAATTTCTGGAGGACAAAAGCAACGTCTCAACATTGCCAGGGCCATCTACTTCGACTCCGATATTGTGCTTATGGACGACCCTCTAAGCGCCGTTGACGCCCATGTGGGACGTCACATCTTTGATAATGCCATCCTCGGTCTCCTGAAGGGCAAATGCAGAATCCTGGCAACACATCAGCTCTGGGTTCTTAATAGATGCGACAGAGTCATTTGGATGGAGGGCGGCAAGATTCAGGCCGTCGACACCTTTGACAACTTGATGAGGGACCACCGTGGCTTCCAGCAACTCTTGGAGACAACTGCACAAGAAGAGAAGGAGGACGAGACCGCGCCGACCAATCTGGCCGAGGCTCCTCAAGGCGACAAGAAAAAGAACAAAAAGGGCGCTGCTCTCATGCAACAAGAAGAGCGCGCCGTGGCAAGCGTCCCTTGGAAGGTGTACGGAGACTTTATCCGCGCCTCTGGGTCCCTCCTAAACGCATCCTTTTTGCTCTTCCTCCTGATACTCTCCCAAGGAGCGAACATCATGACCAGTCTCTGGCTTTCTTACTGGACAAGTAAGCGTTACCCGCTATCTGACGGACAGTATATTGGCATATACGCCGGTCTGGGTGGTCTCCAAGCGATCCTCATGTTCGTCTTCTCGCTACTCTTGTCCATCCTCGGCACCAAGTCTAGCAAGGTCATGCTCCGACAGGCAGTGACCAGAGTTCTCCGTGCTCCAATGTCTTTCTTCGACACCACGCCCCTTGGTCGGATCACCAATCGATTCTCTCGAGATGTGGACGTGATGGACAACAACTTGACGGACGCCATGAGAATGTACTTCTTGACGCTGGTCATGATCACATCCGTCTTTGCCCTTATCATCGCCTTCTTCCCTTATTTCGCCATCGCGCTTGGACCATTGTTCGTCTTCTTCATCCTCGCTTCCTCTTACTACCGCACATCGGCACGAGAGGTCAAGCGTTTCGAGTCGGTTCTTAGATCCACCGTCTTCGCAAAGTTTGGCGAAGGACTGAGCGGTGTTGCAAGCATTCGAGCGTATGGTCTCAAGACTCATTTCATTGCCGACTTGAGAAAGTCCATTGACGAGATGAACGCTGCGTATTACCTCACGTTCTCGAACCAGCGCTGGTTATCGACTCGCCTCGACATGATTGGTAACCTGCTTGTCTTTACAGTGGGTATTCTCGTCGTGACCTCGCGGTTCAGCGTGTCGCCGAGCATCGGAGGCCTGGTGCTCAGCTACATCCTCGGTATCGTGCAAATGATCCAATTCACCGTCCGTCAACTCGCGGAAGTTGAAAACGGTATGAACGCCGTGGAGAGAATCCAGTACTACGGCACTCAGCTGGAAGAGGAGGCCCCCTTGCACACCATCGAAGTCCGGCCGGAGTGGCCTGAAAAGGGCGAGATCGTCTTCGATAACGTGGAGATGCGCTACCGCGCCAACTTGCCTCTTGTGCTTTCTGGCCTGTCGATGCACGTACAAGGAGGCGAGCGTATCGGCATCGTCGGCCGGACGGGTGCGGGCAAGTCGTCCATCATGTCCACCCTTTTCCGTCTTGTCGAGCTGTCGGGTGGTCACATTACCATTGACGGCGTCGACATTTCGACAATCGGTCTGCATGATCTGCGATCCCGCCTGGCAATTATTCCACAAGATCCGACCCTTTTCAAAGGTACAGTCCGCTCCAATCTCGACCCGTTCAGCGAGCATACGGATCTGGAGCTCTGGTCTGCCCTGCGGCAGGCCGATCTTGTCCCCGCAGACGCGAACCTAGAGGATCCGAGGTCCAAGGAGTCATCGAGCACTCACCTCGACTCCGTCGTCGAAGAAGATGGTCTCAATTTCTCCTTGGGACAGAGGCAGCTCATGGCCCTGGCGCGTGCTCTCGTCCGCGGCAGCCGCATCATTGTCTGCGACGAGGCGACCTCATCCGTCGACATGGAAACGGACGACAAAATCCAGAACACCATCGCCACGAGCTTCAGGGGCAGGACGCTGTTATGCATCGCCCATCGTCTGCGCACAATCATCGGCTACGACCGCATCTGCGTCATGGACGCCGGCCGAATCGCGGAGCTGGATACGCCTCTTGCTCTGTGGCAGCGGGAGAGCGGTATCTTCAGGAGCATGTGCGACCGCAGTGGCATCAGGTTGGAGGACATCCGCGGCGCGAGCGAGGGCGCCACCCCGAATGTTCAGGCGGGCGGATCAAATTAGTCGAGAGTTCAAGTGAACGTGGAGGGAGGCACGGAATAAGATGGAACATTTTTAGGAAGAAAAGGAAGTGCGTCCAGGAAGACAAGGCAAAGAAATCGTAGGACAATTGGCGTTTGGGTAAGAGGAAGTCCCTCCATAACCGGCCTTCCTCCATACATCACAAGCATCAAGCACGCCTCGTTTGCGCACAGAGGGCGTGTAACACAAATAGAGAAAACCAGAATCGAAAAAACAAAAAAGGGGACACACACGCACCGACGTTTCGCAAAAGACCCGCGCAACGTGACGTGAAGCTTCAACGTACCTGCACCTGTACCTCCGTGTCTCCAGGGTCGCTGCTATTACTCCTGCTATTACTCTTATCTCTTACCGCCACCGCAACTTTGGACTCTCGCCCGACCCAGCGGTCGTGCCGGTATATTGGACAGTAGGCCATCAAGGACGGGAGACCGAGCAAAGACAAGACGCTCCCACGATCCACAGCGTCGTCTCCCCGGATACGGATCGTCCGGGGACGAGTGTGATACATGGTACTGAATGTGTGACAAGATCCGGTGGGCTACGACGGTTATCTGCACCGGGAGGCAGTCGCGGTTGCAGTTCCAGAGAGATAACGGGCAAAGATTGCTAATTAGAGTGAGAGGGAGTGAGAGGGAGTTTCGCGATGCAGGTAGAGAGGCCGGGGGGCCTGCCTTCGAGGTATGCGGTGTGAATCTCATTCTACACATCTCTGCAGGCTCGGCGGGGGGGAGGGGCCAAAGAGATACCGAATAGATACAACACTGAGCGAATTTCTCGGTTGATAACGCAAGTACAAGTGCAACTTGAGACATTTGATATTCTTCAAGAAAGAAGGAAGAAAAAAAGGGTGTGTGAAGAAGACTGAACAAGGTCTCGTTGCTTATCGCGAGTATTACGGAACGAACGACTCAGCAATCGAATCGGAGATCTCGGTCCGCTCGGTTCCCCCCCGTCAGCTCCGAATCCGAACGATTGGGGCTGGGAGAACGGGTTATGTTTCTTTTCCTTCTGCCGAAAGCTTCCCTGCCCAGGTTGTTTCAAAAGTATAATAGATTGGGATGATTATCCGGACCGAAAAGTCAAATGGGCTGACGACATGGGATAGCTTTCTAGCATACACTTCAGACGCACATAAGGTTTCCTTCCCGTGCTGAAAGATCAAATCGTCAGCGGTTGTCGTGACGACATGGGTCTAGGTTGACTACAGCTCGACAGTCGGTCAACAAGTTGACTTCACATCACAATCTACAGATATGTTTCTATTTTTCTGCTCATTGAAAGGATATGTACCGGCGAGCGATGAGAAGCGAAGACAGAATGCCACCGGCGGATCGTCATCACCAAGACTCCCATTCTAATGCTCCGTCGCGCCTGCGTGGTGTACAGGGCCAAAAAACAACTACACAACCACCGTTGCGCGGCAGCCCGTTTGGGGGCCAGCTGGATTTGCCGCTTGACCGCGCTCCACCTCAAACTTGCTGAGAGACCGGTCCTAGGGGAAGTGGCCGGCCTCACCGGGTAATGATTAAAACAGTATTCCAAACCATTGATGCAACGTGATGATACCCCTAAACGCCCTGAATGTGCCATTCAAAAAAAACCCCAAGCCGTGACGTCTCGCCATTTTTCATGACGCAAGGAAATTGTTTTTGATGCCTAGATGCAATAAAACTAACAGGGGGAAATTGCCCCTAAAACCGACCGCCAGGGGAGTTGTTGGCATTTCGAGAACCAGGGCGCATCTGGCTTGGCGGGAACGCGTTGGGGTTCTCGTCCAAAAGGTCCTCGAGGTAGGCACTTGGAGCTCTTTGTCCATTCCCAGGTGCCGCAGATAAGTTGACGGAGCTAGTGCTAAAGTCACGTCTTGCGCCATACGAGGGGGATTCGGGAGGCGTAGATTCCCTCAAGTTGTTGCGGCTTCCGTACTGGCCTCGTGATTCGGGGCGGAGGTTCGTCAAACTTATTGAGTGACCGTGAGCAGGACTGGGAGACGAGGTAGCAGCGGCGTAAAATCCAGAGGGGAGGAAACGAGAGTCGCGGTTGTTGGCGGAGTTGTTATTATTGTTGTTGCTGTTGCCGCCGCCAGCTGCGGTGGGCGAGAAGAAGAGGTTCGACTGGCTCGGTGTCGCAGAGGGAATGGGGCCGCGCTGCGTTCTACGTACACCACGTCCGCCATTGGGAACAAGAGAAGGAGTCGATTCGCGGTCGGTGTACTTGTAAAACTGCGCTGGAGGGGCAGGGAAGCTCTGCTTGTCGTTGGCGACATACTGGGCATTAGCGGCCCGGGCGACGGAGCGGTGCAGCAGGTATGCAATGATGCCACGCCAGATCAGGATACCGAGGCCCAAGGCGCCGAGAATGGAGCCAACGGCAATGAATACAGTTCCTTGAGGGGCACTCGAGCGGTGCATATAAGGAGCGTTGTTGGTGGGAGGCACACTCGCCGGCGGGTATGTCGCCACGATAGGTTGGTTGGTGAGGGACGGCAGACCCGTGAGGACATCGCCAGTGGAATCAGAGGTTCCAGTGATTCTGGGAGCGGAGATGCTCTCTTCTGTTGTCGCAACGGCACCAGTGTTGGTGATGACGGCGGTGGCCGGAGTGGCGCGCGCAGGCTGCGCAGCCGTCGTAGAATCTGCCTGGGAAGCACTGGTCTGAGCATCTCCTCCGCTGGCATTGTCTTGCGCAAGACCAGTGGCAGAGAAGAGCAACAGGGCGGCAAAGGTAGACAGGAGAAGCGTGCGCTTCAGCGAATGGCGTGACGAAATCATGGTCGGCCGAATGTGAAGTCCAATGACGTCCCGGGGGTTGGTGTTTATGGTGGGATGCGAGGCTCCAAATTCAAGATGATGCAGATGTCAGTCACTTCTTTTCCGGACAGTCGATGTTCTTCGCTTGTCGGATCGAAGAACGAAGGTCGATCGCGACGGCTGTGTTGGTGCCGGCGGGTAGAATATGGGGATATATTCGTCGTTGTGATGTTCTTTCGGATGGGGCTGTGCGCTTCGTTCAGCTTGTTCCTGCTGGATGTGATGGACTCGGGAGAACCAAACGAAGGTATCGTGGGAGTTGCGGAAGCAGCCAGGACAAGCAATATGGAAGAAGGAAAAGTCCTGCTGGCTAGAACATTGCTGGTGCCGGCTGATGGTCTGGTGGGTGGGCGGTCTCCAAGGTTTGACGTGAGGGACTCAGTCAGGGAGACTGGAAGAGTGGTGGAGGGAGCAGTAGAGGGACGGGAGGGATGAGGGTGTGTGATGGGGAGAGAAGGGGAATGGAAGGCAAAGGCGGGCCCCTGGTCAGCAGGGAACGGGCCTGGGGAAAAAAGGAGAAAGGGTCCTTCCCTACACATGCTGAGAGGGAGTGGTGGGCAGCATCCATTTCGTGTTAGCGGACTGGGCCCGGGGCGGTCCTCGTCCCTGTGGCGCGGCGCATTTGGCCGCACCTGAAGGTTCTGACGTGCTGCTGTGTCGGGGTCTGTTTATTTTCGTGTATCCGTATTTGGGACCGCATTTCCTGGGAATGGGAAGACACGCAGACACAGTGCTGGCAACTTATGCAAGCCAGGATTTTGACCTGCAGGAGACACCCACGTCCGGGGAAACAGTCACAGTGTGATGGATCGGCACACGATGCCAATGACTGTGTAAAAGTCGCCCTTCATGATGCTCCCACTCCCAATTGGACCTTCGTATGCCCACTCGCTCGTATTGAGAGGCCCAGCAGGCAGACGTGCTTGATCCCACTAATCAGCAACTCCCAGCATGCGCTACAGTGGCTGCAGGTCGCAACCATCATCAACACGAGCCATCCATCCGGGGTAAACCGTAAGCGTACCTGGCAGATGCCCACCAAACGGCCAAACATCTTGGTGACTCGTCGGTTAATATGGGCCATGAAGCGATAGTGAGCCTCTCTGTGGAATGCTAATGATGCGCCATTCCTCTCTACCCGATTACCCTTTCTTCGCTGCTTCGCTTCACGGTCTCCAGATTCCAGTAGTTTGCAATCCATGCCGGACGGGATGCTTCAGACCAAGGCAAGGCAAGAGGGCGCAGCGGGTATCAGACCGTCTCTGATCACCTCATTCTATAGGTACTGGCTCCTATTATGCATGCGCAGGGCAGTGCACAGAAGTGCTGATGCAAGGCACCAGTCCAGCGCCCATGTTCTCTCCGGCGTTTGGGCGCCGTTGATCGATCGCCTGCTTTTCCTGAGAGAGGAAATTGCAACGAGACCACTTCACCCCTTGTCATTCGTCCAGCTATCATTGTCCCTCCATTCCGGTTGCTCTGGGCCACCCTCCAGGACCCACCCTGCTTGAAAACGCTGGCTGAGGCTCGAGCTGACCTAGCTCCGTCTCGTCACCGAGCGCACAGACCTCTCATGTCTACACCTTGGCTTCTGAGCCACACCGAGGACACCCTCCATCTCACACCGAAAACTTTTTTTCCCACGGTACCTTAGCTCCTGGCCCCGCCACATGCGCTGGGCGGCCAAACTCAAGAAAACGTCGACGCAACAGCCTTGTCCAGCCTCGCCAACGCCAGCACCTCTCTCGCTCGACGACAGCATAAGACAACCGATCGCTCACTGGTGAAGGACGAGGTCGACACAATGGGTGTTCAAAAGAAGACAAGAAAGTTTGGTGAAGTACGTTTGCCAGCCGCTGCTTTGCGCCGACCTCTTGCCCAGCGCAAAGAAAATATCAGAATCCTTATCGATAAGAACTTTTTTGGTCCCCGGAACAAAAGTTCACGATGGTTGCGATGCCGAACCTCGGCGTTGGAAGCTCGACACCGCCTAGATACCGGTACTTGGGAACAAGTATGCTAACCATGTACGTTTCTGCTAGGTCAAGCGAGTCATCGGCAAGAACGACGCCCGGCGCAAGGAGAATCTGAAGAAGGCGGAGGAGGCCGAACAGAAGGCCAAGCGTGAAAGAGGCGGTCCAGATGGCGAGACCATCGTCAGGGAGATTCCTCAGGTCCCCTCGCAGATGTTCTTCGAGAGCAACTCAAGTCTCGTACCTCCCTACGGCGTTCTCGTCGACACCTCCTGTAAGACCCCGTCGCACATATCTCTCAAAACCCAGTTGCTAACCTATGTCAAGTCTTTTCTCGGTATACAGAGCCTGCCCGAACGCATATATCTCGCCCTCGTTGACTAATCTACTCCTAGCACCGTTCAGATGAAGTTGCCGGTGATAGAAACCATGATGGATTGTCTCTACGGTAGGGTCCAGCACTACATGAACACTTTCGGCACCAGCTGACGCCCAAGCTAGCTACTTGTCACCCCATCGTTACCGACTGTGTCATGGCCGAGTTGGAAAAGCTTGGGCCCAAATTCCGGCTTGCTCTGAGAGTAGCACGCGACCCACGTTTCGAACGACACAAGTGCACACATAAAGGGGTAGGTCCATTGCGATTCTTGTCATGGTTCTCATTTACTAATTAAACTCTCGCTCAGGTGTACGCTGACGACTGCCTCGTAAGGCCACAAAACAACACCATCATCAGATGGTTGGAGTCGAAAAGCTAACTGATCCTCCTCTCTAGGTATCCAAGGTGTCCAAAGACCGGGTGTACCTCGTCGCAACCAACGACAAGGGTCTTGTGTCCAGAGTAGGAAAACCTTGTCCGGAAACCAGCGACGATGCTAACATCAGTCTATCTAGCTCCGTCGCATACCCGGTGTTCCCATCATGAAGTGCGGACGCGGAAAGTACACCATTGAGAGATTGCCGGACGCCCCAATTTAAAGTTGGATCAACGTCGTAGGAGGGCATCCATGTTTATTCTGATAGCGTGAGGAGGAAAAACGAGTTACTTGAAGGCAGCACGAGACCGTCTGTCTCGGTAAGACTGTCAAGGTGAAAGAAAGCCTTGGGTATTGTGGCAGGCCGATTCTACAAAAGGGGACTTTATTGTCATGGAAAATGAGGGACCCTGCGCACCGAGCCATGGATAGGGAACACAGTGAGGGAGAGGCAAAAGCATTTCTGGATTCTGGTTTATTGGTATTTTTTTTTTCTCAGACAGGTTGGGTCGTGATGCAATTCGACCTAGCCAGTGTGTATCGTGGTTTGGCACTTGTAATACCGTCATGGAAGGGATCGTCAAATAAGCGGGGTTAACCTTCCCGTATCCCCGATGCTGTCCGACGGATGGCCCCGTCAGCTCATAGTTGCCTACCTACATTGTTTAGGCACCTTTCAAATCAAAGAATGACCCAAACATACGTGACTTACATCCTCCTGCATTCCACTCGGGCCCTTCCGGACGCAGCAGCACCCCGTTGCAGGGAAACACACCAGTCACCGCATAAACGACGGCCCCCTCCGCAAGACCGGCTCCGAGATTGACGTCAAATAAAGTTTGGGCTTCCGGATCTGATAACGGACGGCATCACGGTGCAAACCCCTTTTGATGCCCCACACCGTCCTCCATTAAACCCACTTACAAACAGCACTGGTATACGGATACCGTCTTGATCTTTGCAGACCAACACCCCATCCGTCTCCCGCTCCCTGTGAAAATTCAGCCCGCATGGACCAGGACCACCATAACGTGAGCCCGCCCACCGGGTCGAGCACCGGCGGCAGCGATCCCTCCCCCAACTTCTCCGCCTCCGGCCCCGGGCCGTCATCCGCGTCGGCGGCATCAGTAGCTGCTGCAAAACGCTCCCGCGTCCTCCTCTCCTGCGGGCCCTGCCGTTCCTCCAAGCTGAAATGCGACCGCTCCGAGCCGTGCGGCCAGTGCCTGAAGAAATCTCGCCCGGAAGGCTGCGTCTACTCGCCCAAGCCCGAGAAGCAGAAGCCCGCCAAGGGCATGGCGGCGCGGCTGAAGAGGCTCGAGGGCATGGTGAGGACAATGATGGACGAAGGAGGAGGAGGAGGAGTCGGCGCGGGAGCGGGCTCGGAGGCTGCTGGGAACGGAGTGGCCGCTTCGGCGATGGAGGACAAGGGCGTCGCGCAGCCTGGAGGCCAGCTTGTTCAAGGGGGCAGGGCGAGCACTTATGTCGGTGCTACGCATTTCATGGCTATTCTCGAGGATGTGAGTGATGGTCTTGCCCTTGGAAAATCACCGCCTGCCTTCGTGTGTTGTTCCAGAAGACGGGATGGAGATTTGCATTGAATGAGATGTTAGCTGACTGGGGGGGATGACAGATTGAGGATATGAAGAGTTTTTTCGAGGAGCCAGAGGCCGACTACGACGAGAGCCCTGAAGCATCTGACGAGCTAGAGGCCCCGGATCTCATGCTCTTTTCGAGGAATATGCCTCGTAGCCGGGAAGACTTGTTGAAGCTGCTCCCCGAGCGGAAGATTGTCGACAGGCTCATCATGAGATACTTTGCCTCTTCCAGCCCATCACAACGTAAGACCACCATAACTCACTTTCGTCATCGTCGTGCATTGTATTGTGATCACTGACTAGGTGGCAGACATTGTCCATAGACCAACCTTTGTAAAACAAGTAGGCTCATCCCCCTTTCCCCTTCAACAGCATCCATACTAATGACTTATATAGTACGCCCACTTCCGGGCCGATCCGTCCGGAACAAACCTCCACTGGCTGGCCCTTCTCTTCATGGTCATATCCCTCGGCGTCTTCTACTCAACCTTCATGGCGCCGCACGAGCTCTCGGGCGACTCCCCGCAGCCGCCCATGGACCGCTTCAAGCTCTTCCGCGCCGCCGCCGCCTACTGCCTCGTCTGGGGCAAGTACAACCGCCCCTCCATCACCACCATCCCGCCCTTCATCCTCTACGTCGAGGCCGAGTTCCTCATCTCCCGCGCCGCCCAGATGAACTGCTATGTCCTTTCCTCCGTCTGTCTCCGCCTCCTCCTCAAGATGGGCCTCCACCGCGACCCTGATAGGCTCGCCGGCATCTCCCCCTTCGAGGGCGAGATGCGCCGCCGTATGTGGAACATGGCCGTCCAGCTCGATCTCCTCGTCTCCTTCCACATGGGCCTCCCCAGCATGCTCCACGGCATCGACTCCGACTGCGCCCTCCCCCGGAACCTCGTCGACGAGGATTTCGGCGAGGACAGCCCTGCCCTCCCGCCCGCGCGGCCCTTGACCGACTATACGGAGATGACGTACCCCATCAACAAGTCCGCCATGATGCTCGTCTTCGGCCAGGTCGCGCGGCAGTCCCACCTGCTGTCCCCGCCCCCCTACACCGAGGTAATGCGCCTCGACGACCTCCTCGACCGGTCCTGGCGCGCCGTGCCGCAGTTCATGATGGTGAAACCGCTGCAGGAGTGCGTCACCACGCCGCCGATGCAAATCATCCAGCGCTTTGGCCTCGCCTCGCTCTACAACAAGAGCCGCTGTGTCCTCCACCGCCGGTTCCTCCTCGAGCCGGTGCCGAGGCGGGAGCACGACTACTCGCGCCGGCAGTGCCTTGAGGGCGCCGTCACCCTCCTCGACTTCCAGAACACGATATGGCACGCGTGCCAGCCGGGCAACATGCTCAGTCAGAACGGGTGGTTCGTCTCCTCGCTGGCCGTGCACGATTTTCTGTTGGCCGCCACCATCGTGTACCTCGCCGTCGGCAACGAGCAGTTCTGGGGAGCGGACGGGAGCGGGAGCGGCGTCGCGCCGCCCGAGTGGATGGCTGAGATGAGCCCGCCGCCGAGCAAGGCGCATCTCCTGCACCTCCTGCAGAGATCGTATTCCGTCTGGATCGCCATCGCCGTCGGCGTACCCGAAGTGAGGAAGACGGCGGATATATTGGAAACAATGCTCAGCAAGCTGGGGTCGCCACCGAATTCCCCGCCAGAAAATTTAGGCGCAAAGGTATCGTCGGCGTCGGGGCTTCACCAAACTGACGGCTCGGAATCAGCAACTCGTTTTGCTCAAGATAGCCAGCAACTCCTCAACGGTCTTTCCATCAGCAGTACGGTGGTAGACATGCCTCGAAGTAATGGTGTTGCTAACCGTGTAGCAGATTCTGCGTCGTTCTCTTCCGGTACGACGAATCGCTTCCAGCCTTTCGACTGTGTCACTTCAGGGCTCGGGTCCAGTGAACCTGGGCTAGACCGTGGATGGGTGGCCGTTGGCAATGAAGAAATGGACTGGGTATGTTCGCACATCCACCAAGCGAAGGAGCACATCTGACCGACTTCCACAGCGATACTTTGACAACATCATGGCGCAGCCCAATAACAACCCCATCGGTCTCGAGTCACTGGACGCGTCCCAGCCGTGGTACGAACGGGCACTGGCACCGGACGATTTTGATTTCTCCACGTCTGGTGCATGGGACCCGAGTTGGGGACAATCGCGTTGATGCCACGTTTGACCCTGTTCATGCTGTTTGCCGCAGCGAGCTGCCAGATTTGCATATCAAAAGGAACTGCTCATAAACCGCTGTCAGGGCGGCTTGGCAGCTGTACGGAGCTGACTTGGGCCACACAAGGGTCGTTCTCGAGCTAAGCCGGCCCAGAAGGGGCGCATGGGGTTACGATTCCGTGAGCTCGGCCGAAAAAGCTCCTCCTCTTGAGCTCAAAGACCCTCGGTGCGTCAGGTCCAGTGCAGCAACTGGCTTGCGTAGGTGCCGGCTGGACCTTGTGAAGTTTTCTGTCCTCAGCACGCGATATCGGTGCCCACAACAAAGATTGGCCCGTGGGGGAAAGCTGTCTATTGCCCTGATGGACCTGGCTAGCTGGCAGAGACTGTCACCAAAAAAAAACAAAAAAAACAAGGGTTCGGCTCAGGTGACTTGAAAATAGATGCGAGGTCGGCGCTGGCCAGCAGTTGACATTAGACCCCGGATTTTCCTTCTCTTTCAGGTCCTCGCCAATGCCTGGCTGGAGTCGCTGGACCGATGGTGTGCGATGAGCGGCCGTCCTCCGGGGAATTGGACCCTGCAAGCCCAATGAGGGGTTCTGTCGGCGGTTGACACACGATGAATACCATAACGTAAAAACGGTGGGCCGGTGCAAGTGGCCGCCGGCGACGTGCGTTTGGGGTCCCAACAATTATCCTCTTCGACAACGGCGGAACAATGATGCAAGTGTTTTGGTCCTACATGTGTACATGTCGTTGGCATCGTCTCCGTAAACCCCTTGTTACTGAGCGCGACGTGAACGACGGCTCAAGAGGGAGCTGGCGTGCAACGGTGCCCTACGAGGCATGGGCCAACTTCCCCGCAAAACCCGCATATTGACGGCAGCGAAGCGGGGGCTGTTTGCATTAGCAGCAACACCTGGAGCAGCTGGGCCCGGTGGCGCTTTTCCCTGAGCTGGCAGCTTCTTTCTCTTGGCTCTTTGTGGTGGGTTACGCAAAGAGCCGAGTCGAGTTCTTTTCAAGACGGCCAGACCGCGAAGCAATACCAATCAATCTTCTTGGGCGCAAATTTGGAGCATAGCAGACTGTCCCGCGGAGATATCTACTCCGGAGAGGGAGGGGAAATGTTGGCTTATGAGCAGTCCGGAACGCCAGTTGGTTCGCTTGATGACGGCATGGCAATCATTTGGGACGTTTTCTTGGCTCCATTTGTACGTAATAAAGAAAATGCGGTGCTAGCAAGGTCGACATTGCGCGATTCCTGGGTCGCCATTGGCACATTGCTGCTCGTGCTTCACCTGCCTGTCGTCTCAGCTCTTTGTTAATCAGATTACGGATGTAGGTAGGCGCCTCCCGACTCCCGAGTGCCGTCAGCTAGGTCGAGGGCGGCTACTCTTTTGTTGTTGTCTGCCAGGCAGTTGTCTCGCCATCTCCCGTGGCTCGTTACCGGACCGCAGTAAGGGGGGAGTTGGGCATCGTCCCAAGGCTCTGGACCCGATTGTTGATGACGGAGGTCCCAGTAGACAACGGTCACAAATGCTGCACGTCTAGACTTTCAGCAGAAGCAGGCAAGGCAGGTTCCGCCTCAAAGTCCGCGTTAGCCTTCAGGGATGCCCCGCTGGGTTGCCTTTGAATCCTGCGGCGGCGTGGGCTAGGCCATTCTGTGAGTTTGAGGGTGTCTAGGTACTCACTTCCAGTGTTAGTCGGAAGGTCGTCGGAACCGGAATTCTGTGGATTGGAAAGTGAGCATAATACGCCTTACCTTGATCCTGCCCCCTCCGCGGCCGTCAAAGGACAAGTCGCACCATAGGGCAGCATAATTGGCTGATAAGAACGATATTCCCATGACCAATGGCATTATCCGCATGAGGCTCACGTAAACATGGACCAGACGTTGGGTGCGCCTACATGTAGGCGGTTACTCGACGCTTCTGCAGCCGACGTGCATGAAGGGCCCTCAAAGACAGAATACAGTACCTAGGCGGCGGCGTGGTGCGGTGCTAGGTCGAACCTGGGAGATGCAGGCGCTGTAACCGGTAGGAGCGTGGCACGGGTAGCTCAGCAAGGAGGCTAATCTCATACCTGCAGAGAGTGAGACTAGAGCCTAGATGCTAGTGTCTGCATGTGTGGTGGGAGCTTCTGGGTGGTGTCTGGTTATGCAGGGAATTTGCCCATCATGGCGTGGAATTGCGATATTCAATGGTTCTTCTGCCTGGGAGCAGGTAGTGGGACCCAGCCATCTGGGCTGGGAAGGGGGGGTGGGGTGCGCTGTATGTAGGAGCCTAGGAGGTAACGTGATAACCTGGTCGAGCATCGGGTAGGGTTGTGCCCATTTGGGATCCGTACCTAGTAGCATGGGCCGAAGGCTCAAGCTTCGACGTACCTAATAATGAAGCGGTGGACTCTGTGACGGCGGACGACACAGGGTTTCTTTGGATCACGTTTGCCGTCGTGTGGAGACCAGAGCCAGAAAAAGTTTGCACAGGGTTCGGAGAGTACACTACCTAGGTATTATGGCATCGGGATTGGCTCCGATCACCGACGACGTGCCAGTTTACAGTGTGTGGAGACGTTGATTTGCGCCGGGGGTTGACCGGCGCAGTAGTGCTTAAAATCAAGGACCCCGTGATGAACGACCGTGCTCGTAGTAAGGCCCGTGAATCGGCAAAGTCAGACTCATCAAGGTGCCCTTAGTGCTCTTATCTGTTGGACTATCTCATGCCAAGCTCCGAGCCGGGTCATTCATGGCAAGCAACTGTAGACAAGGTGAAGTGGGCGGGCGGAGAGGAAGACACCCGGTATCCATGGACGGATGTCTCGGTCTGATGTGATGATGTGATGGCAGGTCGATCCCGTCAGGGTTGGTGTTTGACCAGTTGCTGTACGTAGTCGGTGAGCATATCGGAGGGCCACATCGATACCTCAACATGGCGTTGGTGCTGCAGAACGTACATACGACGTACGACTTGCGTCGCATGGAGGGATGATAAGACGGCCAAACGTTGAAAGTATCCATGTCCTTAAGGTACTCCATTGTGACCGCCCTCAATGCCCTTGGAAGACAATGGCGGCATTGCATGGGCTTGGTTGCATTGAATGGGCAAGAGCCGTGAGCCATGAGCCATGAGCCGCGACAGCGGCGAGGTGCTTTAGCCTAAGAAGGGTAATAAAGTTGCCAAAGATAAGGAAAATTTTTCTGAAGCAGCAGCAGCATTGCGCAAGGAGGGAAAGGAAAGGAAAAAAAAAAAAAAAGACTGGGGACAGATGGTGAGAGGTCTGAGGAGGAAAAAGTTGGAGGTGTTTTCCCAGTAGGTAAGAGCAACTGTGTAAGCGAAACCCCGAGCCAACCGCGGGTATCCTCTTACATAATAAAGCCAATCTAGGCCTCGCGGGAGAGAAAATTACTGCAAATGGGGCACTGGGGAGCCCCTAGTAATATTCTTCGTCCTGGCCCTCCAATGCCTCCACTGCCTTTGGCACACACACCAGTGACACCACTGCATGTCCCCGTTGCACCTTCCAAGTTTCTTTCCCGTTCACCAAAGACTTGAGAAAGTTGAGACGGAACGACTGGGAGGATGCCCGCCGTTGCCCACGGTCCCGTTCCAAGACCCGTCCAGAGCGGCCCATCCTCCTCTTGGAAAAGAGCTCCAATACAGCTTCAGCAATCCCCGCCCGTCTCGATTGATGCATCGCCCGATTTAGTGTCCAAGTCATCGATCGCTGGCTGCTACAGGTTGCACTGCAGCAGACGTGGTTCCGATATGAAGTGTCTGTACGGATACTTCGTACACAACGGCGTACGATGTAGGTTCTGGAAGTCGATTGAGGGTCGGCTAGAAAAAGAGAAACGACTAGATGGAATGGGAAGGTAATGCGGTACACGTGCTCGCGCCTCGACACCGTACCGGCTGAGGTAGCCGCGTATCTTTTCTCGTGTATCCACGCAAGGTACCGACGCTTACACAGTCACTATCCATCCGACTTGACTTACCACTTCGCATCTCCTTACTCGATTGCCGTGATTATGCTTTCCCGTGTCTTCATCGTCAGTGGTGCAGAGCAAAGGTCTACTACAGTACCGCTTAGTACTTTACTCACCTTACTCGGACCACAACACAATCCTTCTCTCCTGTTTCCATCTCATCTCATCCCGTCTGTCCTACAGGCTATACAGTAGTCTGGGATCCGGGCGTGCTTCCGGGCCCATGGATGATGGCTTGATGGCTGGGCTGGGTGTGGTGTTTCCGCTCGATGGGGCCCCGTTGTTTGCGCTTGCATCAAGGTTCGAATGGGAAAACGCAACGTGCCCAACCTCGTGGCCGCCGGCGAAGAATCAATTATTAACAGAAAAGGGCCAACAGCAAGGCCCTGCCGCGCCAGGCCCTGGCCACCGAATCACTAGAGTAGAAATACAAATTCTCTATCCGTACTGGAATTTGCTTTTGACTTTGTCCGTCTCGTCTGTGTTTATCATGATGCACCTGCCGAGTATCTGACTCTGCGGCGAGCTCTTTCCTCACCCAAAGGTACACGACTTACAGCAATAGGTTGTTTCCATCACTCATCACTCACGCACACACACAAACGCGCGCGCGCGCACACACACACACACACACACACACACACACACCAACACATACATACATACATTTGTCCCCCCTCCGTTTCCAGACTATCAATCTACCGAGTCTACGGTTACACCCCTTCTTCACTCTCTCTTTCCTCACACGTCCTCTCATCCCACTGGCTGCGCTCATCTGTTCGAACTGCATGCACTCTGCTTCGGCCTGCCTTCCTGCTAGCTCGTTATCAGTCACTCGGCCCAGCACCAGCACCACCAGCAGAGCCCAGAACATCGCGGCGTACCTTGTCCGTTTCCAGTTGGTCAAATCACCACACGGACTCATTGGGACCGGCATCAAACGCTTGGAGACTCCTCAACTGAGAATATCTGGTCTTTGCCTCCTTCTGGCCTTTATTTCCAAAGCGTTGGATCGTTTGCCTGGTTCTTTCACATTCAAAAACACCCCGACTCTACGGATACCTTGCGCATATACGACCTGGACTTTCTGCTCCGGTCGTCTCAGGTATTTAAGGTTCGACCTCACATAAGGCAACCCCATCTCTTGCTATCCGTACCGTACCACTCTGCAGATTCGCCCTAGTCATCTGTAGGCAAAAGAGCCGCCCGACACAAGCAAAAGGCCATCGCGACAAAAAACGGCACCATCCAAGACCCAAAGGAGCATCATCTGATCCGGCCGCTATCCACTACTCCGTGGATCTCTTATTTTCTCCTTTTCTGGCCGCAACCCGACCCCATCTCAACCCATACACCGCTGGTGAAGCACACCCCCAAATCAGTCAGCTTCGCATCGGATCTGCACGCCGAACTCCCTCCCAGCCTGCCCGGCGACTCTACCCAGACCAAGCAGCCCACGAGGTAATCTAGCCAGAGACGCTCCAACACGCATACTAGGTTACGGCCAGCCAGTTTTTACCCCGATTGGACAACCTCTTTGCACCGTCAGCACTCGGGTTTAGATTATCGGTGGATAGCCCGACGACAACGACGACAAGCATAGCAAGCACGCACACCTGCCGTCATCCCGGAGCTGTCCTGAGTGGGCAAGTCGACTGAGAACAATTGCTCACTTGACTGAGACCGGCAGGGTGACACACACACTCTCTTTCGCTCACGTACTCTCACACACTTTTATCTCTCTGTCTCTCTCACACGCAAACGCACCTCACTTGCGGCTACATTCATCATCCACGCCTACAACAACCTTCGCAGGACCAATCTATCCGCACACCATTGAGCTACCTCATCTCATCCCATCTAGACACCCCTCCATCATTTTACAGCTTCTGCAGCTGCCAACGTCCAATTCTCGGGCCACTAATCTCAGGAACACCCGGGGTAAATAAGAGAGAGCGTACGACGATCCTGGAGATATCTCCCTCGCCTGCAGTTCCTGCTTCGTCTTGCCAAATTTCCCTTATCAGCATCAACAAAGTCTGCCAAATTCCCACACCCCCTTACCCCTAAACGGATACCTTACCTCCCTCGCCGTCTCCGCCGACGGACGCAGCCTAGTTTGCTCTCGGCCCATTCCCCCAGATCTTTTGATCGACCTTTGGCCTGAACAGGCGTGAGTCCATCTCTGGGATCGTGGCTTTTTTTTTTTTTGGCTGTTTGCTGGGGTTAACCCCGCCATTGACCAAAAAAAGGAGCTCGCTCTTTTGATAGCGGTGGTTGCTATCTGAGGTATCTCGCCATTCTCCGAAGCGACCCCTCAGGGTATCTGAATCATTCCGGTCCGCGGCTTCAGGAACCGACCTCTTGTTTCTTTTTTCGAGACCGCACCCCGTCACGTCACCCGTCACCCGTCCACCCTTCACCACCCGCCTGTCTCTGTCCCTCTCGACGTCGCGTGCGCAGAGACCTGCACTTGGCCCGTTCAGTCCTCCCCTTTCCGCGATAAGCCCTCTGGCCTGCTATAGGTTCGAGGCGGGATTTTACGTATCGGTTTGTCATGGTTGATACTCCTCTTTAAAAACAAATCCCATCCATCCATCGAATCCGTCTTGAAGATCGACGAAGCCGTGTTCGGGACAACCAGCCCAACACCACACTGCTCTCTTTTTTCCTTCTCCACAAACCGAGGCCTCACTTACACCCTTCCTACAGCACATTTTCTGGGGGAAATAGCGGGGTTGACGACAAGCCCTTGCAGCAACCCTTTCTCCCGACAAAAAAAAAAGAAAGAAAGGAACCCTTTGCTCTGCGCTGCCGCACTGTCAAGCCTCTACTCTTTCCCGTCCTCGCAAGAGCAGTTTATGTCCGAGAGTTCTAGATGGTGACTCTGATGCCTTCTCAACTCAACGGGATTGGGATCCCTATCCGACCCGCCAAGCCACAACAGCAACACCAACAGCAGGATCACTCAAATCACCACTACCACGGCGACTCGGCGGTCTACAGCGCCGTCAGGACCCATAAACACTCCCGCTCATCGTACTCTGACGCATCCCCGTTGTCGTCATCCAGGAACAACTCCCTCACTTTCCGCCCTTTCAAGCGTTCGATGCCCACCCCAAACAAGACGATTGCTGTCATCAACGCCAGCGGTCGTCAGGCTGCATCATTCATCAGAGTTGCCACGGCTGTTGGCTACCACGTCCGCGCCCAGCTGCGGAATCTTGAAGGCGTCGTCGCCACCGAGGTCAACTCAAACCCTAATGTCACTGTCCTTGTCGGCGAGTTGTACACGAGGCACAAGCCGACTCCGGACAACAGAGATGTGACAACCAACGGCCCCATTTCCGGTGTTGGTGTAAACCATGACTTGATCAATGACCTCTTCCGCGGCGCTCAGCTGGCTTTCATCAACACCACATTTTATGGAGACGAGTTTCAGATCGGAAAGGCACTTGCCGACGCCGCCAAGAAGGCCGGGGTTCAACACTACGTCTACTCCACGATGCCCGATCATGCCGCATACAAGTCGGGTTGGCCTTCGCTTCCTCTCTGGGCTGCGAAGCACCAGGTCGAGGAGTATGTCCGCTCCATCGGCATGCCTGCTACCTTTGTGTACACGGGCATTTACAACAACAACTTCACCTCGCTGCCCTATCCGCTCTTCTGCATGGAACTCCAGCAGGATGGTTCATTCGTTTGGCAAGCTCCGTTCCACGAAGATGTGAAGCTACCCTGGCTCGATGCTGAGCACGACGTCGGTCCCGCCATTATACAAATCTTCAAGGACGGCCTGGCCAAGTGGCGCACAAAGCGTGTTGCTTTGGCCTGGGAAATGCTGACTCCTCGCGAGGCTTGCGAAGTTTTTGCCAGAGGTGTTGGCCGGCCAGTCAGGTATGTCCGGGGTCCGATTGAGCTGAAGGTCAAGATCCCGAATGGGTACCGCCAACAGCTCGAGGCGCTAGAGAAACTGTTTTCCCTCGGCCACCAAGATCCCAAGAAGCAACCCCCCTACTTTGGGGATGTCGAGCTGGAGGACAACTGTCTCTCTCAGTCCATGGCACTCTGGGAGGGCCCTAGAGGTCTGGAGGAATACGCACAGGAAGCTTTCCCACTAGAAGAGCAGGCCAACGGATTAACATGGATGTTGGAGGAGGAGGAAGAGGCACCCGAGGAGGAAGCGGCGCCAGCAACCCATCTGAAGGATCAGGAGGTGCAGCAAGAGGAGGAGGAGCAGGAAGAGGAAGAGTACGAATACTCAGATGAGGAGGATGAAGGGTTGACGATGAGAGGGCTGAAGAGAGATGAGGAGGAATGGCTCGCATGAGCTCGGGACCGATCAAATGCTCATGACGCGGCACCACTTGGTTTCGATGGCCTTGGGCTCGAACGACTTTAACCGTGTCATTGACACACACACACATACACATTCGATTTAACATTGCATGCGGCGGCGTCCAGGTGCCGAGGATGGTTGAACAACGAAGGGAAATGGTCCGGAAAAAAAAGTGCGTTTGGGGAGTCGATTTTCTTTGCTGCCTGGCGGTAGTATACCTCCCCCCAAGTTGGGGTTGAGTTGAGACCTGTATGAGCGGAGCCTATTTGTGTGATGGCGATGACAGCTCTTTTCCTCGGAATCATTCATATGGGCTGGCATGGCGTTGCGTGGTTGACAAAAACAAAACAAAAAGGGTAGCTTGTGACATGATGCATAGCTCCCATGCGATGATTTTCTGGTTTTGGAGGGCTTTTGGTTAACTTGATGACGAAAGAGCGAGGAGGGATCAAGAAGAAGAAGATAAAAGGGAAAGGCAATAGGCCCAAGCGGTATCTATCATCACAGTAAAAATGAAGGCAATGTCAACTTCAAAAATGATGCAGCCCACGGGAGAGGAGTTTAAAAGACCATGGACGATCGAGAGGGCGCGCAGGCCAGCTGCAAAGAGGGGATTTTCCTCATTTATGACCGCGCTTGTCGTCGGTTGAGCAATGTAACTCCCATGCTTTTTTTTTCCTTGATGCCAACCGCCCCCCCTTGCTCTACGGCGTGGGGGTTTTCTTCCGCGCTCACTTCAAAAAGAGTAAGAGTCGGCCGCGCGCCCCGGTGAGCACGGCTGCACGGCGTGGGATGGATCATGGGGGGAGACGGGCCGGGGGGCGCGGCTTTACCGCCGTGGCCGAAGATTTGCACAAGGGCCCCGGGAGATGCATGGGATGACTTCATACGGTCTGTATCTAGGTTTACGGGGTCTTTTTTAGTTTCGTTGGGCGGGTTTGACCGAGGGCATCATCGGCCGGTATAGATGGTTGTTTCTCGGGACTGTGGATGGTACACGTTGTCTCCCATAATTTGTTCTGCATTGAGACGGGCCGAGGAGTAGCGAGGTCTTTAGCGGCTTGAAATCTGGCCATAGGCCTAGATGAAGAACAGGAGCAACGACGAGATGCTGAAGAGAACCTTGGTCCTATGTCAACGGCGTGTTTCCAGCAGCTCTATCGATCAAGATCCAGCTTCGAGCTGGCGAGATGGTCGTCCTGATGCTTTCCATCGATGTTAATGATGGCGGAAAGATGGGCCGTAAGGGCCCGCGGGAATTCCGAGTGATCACGACGACAATGTTGATGGCAGTCTAGTTCCAATATGCAAGGGCCCAAGGTGTTCTTCTAGAAGCTTTGCCGAGTCAGTCTTGGCCAAACCGGGTCTCGGCCGGTGTATTTTAAGATTGGCTCTTAGCTTTGATATAGATACGATAGATAGGAGAGGGTCCGTTGGGCTATTCTTCGAGCATCCGTATCTGTACCCCATAACCGATAAGAAGAGCCAAGGTTTTATTCTCCTGGCCAAGGGACAGGACCGTTGGGATGAACATGGAGCTACGCTGGAGATTCAATGAAGACTTTTGACACGCCTTGAAGTAGTGAGGCACCTGCTTCTGACGAACTTGATGCATGGTGTACGTCACCCTACCACGCTGATCTACCTCAAAAACAAGCCCGGTTCCACTGGATCTATCACAGCGTAGATCACAGTTTGACAAGATTGTCGGTCAAATGAAGAATCTTCAGCACGCAGCTTTTTGATCCCGGTATGACGATTCGCTGGATTAGAAAACGGTACTCTTTCCAATTCTCGCCCATGAACAAACTTGGAGAAATATCCGTACAAACCACAATGGATTACTACAGCACACTCATCAGGTTCTCGTCTCACACGTTAAATCATCAGCAAGGTGTGAAGCGACCTCCACCGCTTGCTCCTTCTCTTATCGGCCGGGTTCCTGGTGCGGCGACGCGCGCTCATCTGGCTTGACCCCTGATCAGCCCACACACCCGTCACCCGTCACCCGTCCGAGATCCGATGAACGGGTATAGAACCTCCTCCCCTTGCCCCAACAGGCTACTGCGGACTCTTACACTACTATAGCAGATCCTCGACATGCATCGAAAAGACTAATGTATTCTAGAAGCACCCTCCAAGATGCCGCCGGTAACCGTGGCTCCATCACCCCACGTGGGACGCAGTCTCTTACGTTGTTATTGCCCAACAAGGGAGTTCCACGGTGAAAGTACTGGTTCGGGTTTGCGACATCATCCTTGATTCGACGTCCTCGTACCAGAGCTTTTGTTATCGCAGGATTCGGGAATGAGGTTCCGGGTGTGTGCTCCCGGATCGAAACATATCAGCACGGGCACCTTTCATAGACGGCATAGATAAGAGCTCGGAAGGCCCAATCTCTTTCCTTCCGAGATATCCCCAGTGACGATGACCCTTTCCGTCGATATGCGGTGTCATGTATTCCACATTGGCTTGTTGGGCCTCATGTGGCTGCAGCAATGACCTGTTCGCCTCGTCCTACCCACACGTTGCCCTTCTTGTACTACGGTTCCCCGTTCCCCTGTTCTCTGCCCCCTGAACCAGCAGGCAGTGCCGGTGGTGGAAGAGGATACCGGGACCCCCACGGCCGTCGTGCAGCGTAAAACTCTTTTCGGCGGAAGTCTGGAGTGTCGATGACGCCCATTACGTCTTAATTGGTGATGGCCTGGCAGTCAAACACTTACTTTGCATGCCTGCACTTACCCAGAAAGCGGTTGCTAGTCCAGTGTGAACATCCAGCATGGACTACTCCATGTATATGTCGCAACTTCGTAAATCCTCAGACTGTATATCAAGAACCAGACTTCTGAGCCAATGCTACTTGTAAGAATCCCTTGGTCTCTCGGGGAATATGCTACAATGTATTCGTGTACACATGAGGCCGCGGCACGGTGGTCATGGTTGGAAGCTCACGACGAAGATTCGGCAGCTTTGTGTCTAGCCCCCTACCGCTGCCCCTTGATTCCCGATGCAGTATGCTTCGTATGCCTCTGAATTGAGCCCAATGGGCAGAGGCGCGTCTTTCAGTTTGAAAACCCGGATAACCTGGCATCAACAGATGTCGATCCGTACGGAGAAAAGACATGCAGTCTTAGGTGATAGATCGCTCGCTACCATCAAAACGCATTGCCTCTAGAAGCAACCCATTGGCGGGAAGCAGTCACTTGTCCTACCTATGGATGCGTCAGCGTCGGCATGTTCTATTCACTTATCATGTATGTGCGGAAGATGGAATGAGTCCTTGGCTCGGACAAGCCAAGAAATGGATCGAAGCCACTCCACTGCGTCCATAATGACCAGGGACTGACAAGCTTGGTAGTGACCTTCGAAGACACTTCATGGTGCATCGGAAGCGCCCGAAAGTAGACTCTATCGCGGTGGCCTACCTCATTTGCAGCCATCTCCTAGGACTGGACTATTCCCCCCGCCCGTCCCTGACTCCCATTCACTCCGCGGCATAGTAAGGGGGCCGAACACCATGCTGCATTTCCTGATATCCCTTATCCAGGGGATCTAGTCGCAGCTCCTTATCAGGATCCAGCAAGAGGCCGTCAAATTACCAGGGAGAAGCGCACGGAGGGTATTACGTAGATAACTTATGGTAGCATGACCGTAGACTCGTTGAAATAACACCTATCAGTTAGTGTGTTCTTCACTGTCGCCCATGGATGGCTTAGTCTTGGCCTATCTCGTGATTCCAAATTTTTTCATCATTGTTCTAGCACCTGTTATGCTTGTGGCATATGAAGGTTTTGTTTCCCTCGTGAATTGGATTATGATGGCGAGAAGAGTGCCCACCCACTTAGCCACTTTACCTCCACACTCGGCTCCAGACAGCCTTTGATTTCGGAAACCCAGAGTGAAAGAAACGAATGCCAATATCGAGCTTAAACAATTTACAGTGGCCAAATTGTAGTCATGTTCAAGCATCGTCTGTTTTGCGAACACCGTCAGGGCGCGCTCAATGCGGCTTGCGCATGGCTAGCTTAGCAAACGGGACTTGTTTGCTTTCGAATACATGCCGTACACGTTGCGAGACTTTCCAAACTGTGGTATAGTGATGTAAAACTTGGCTCATACTCCTCTCTGATCTCACGCGAGTTACGTCCAAGGAGAGGGGAAGACCCCCCCGAGGCTTGTTAGAAACGACAAAGATCCTTCCGTCACTGTGAGTTTTCATGTTGTCTTTCGACGATCAATTGCTTCTCAATAATTCTAGAACATTGATTGCCAGGGGACTATTGTCGGTCGCAATGGCTTTTGTATGCTCACAAACTCACACATCACGAGGCTGTCCGTCCTGTCGCTCCTTGTGACCCAGTCCAGTTTCAACTTCCGCCAGGTCCATCTAACCTGACGCTAGAAGCTTGGACTTGCAACGGGAGGGAAATTGTATCAATCGCTACCCTTATCCTTGAGCTTAGAAGATGTTGACACGCAGCTGATCTTGGTAGGGCTACCTAATCCCGATCCTCTGATAATTATCCACTGCCAAGAATGCTCGCAAGAACTTTTGCATAGATTTATTAGACGTTTTTTTGGTGTGAGAGAATGTAGAGCACTTGTTTCGGTATGCATAGAAGCTGATGGTGAACAGGCGTGGCCTGGACAGAGATTTCCCTCCTTATCAGCTTGCTCGACTCAAGCTTTAGATTACCCCTGATAAGGAGATTCCCCTCCCGGGGCTCGTAGATAGCAGAAGTGATTTCATGCCAGGCATGATGAGAATCCAATTCGCGGTAATTGCCTGTATCTATTCTTCTACACAAAAAAACATTTGTGCAAACGGTCGTTATGCCCAGCGCGCCTCCGAGTAGCTTATTATGTCGGCCGTCTGCGTACTGTGGACAGTGAATATTTCTCCAGATCTGTCTATCTTTCATCCTACGTCTTCGATGGAATCTGTCCGTATGCCCCCGGCTCTACTTCCCACCATTGCACATGCGCCGGGGTCGCCGGTGTTTCTCTCGTACCAGCGGTTGCCAGAGAAGATGGACATTGTGGCCGCAGCTGTATATTCAACCCCCAACCGCTCCGTGGACATGGACCCGCCAAAGCTAATAGATAGAGCTGGACATTCCAAAAATGGGTAGCCAGCTGGAACGTCCTTCCGTCACAGTGTTTATTGCAAAAAAAATCATATATGTATGCAGACGTAGGTTGTACTTGATGAGCTGCGTTCACTCATATCACAGCAACCTCAGTTCGCCAACGCCAACACCACGCCTTGTGTCTACAGCGCCTTTTGATTTTCCTATGTTTCGTTGCTACTCATTGAATTGATATTTGATGGCACAAGAAAGTAAAGAGTCTCCTTAATCTCGGCGCCCACCATTGCAAGGGTGCGTCCTTGGAGCTGCCCCGGTTCTCACAGGTTAGCAGCGCCTCCTCCAGTACAGAACAACATCGCGGGTTCCTAAACTTGAAAACCAATAAGATGCAGATACTGCTATTATATAGCGCCGGGTGAGGATACATATACTCAGCAGGGGGGCAAAAATAGGAGAACGTCGCTTGCGGGCTTCGAATCCGCAAACTACAGCCAAGGTAGAACATTGCCTAGCACCGGGAGTATTGCCATCCTAAGCTGCTAGGCGACTTTTTCTTTCGACTGTTAACAACGACGGAGGCGAAGCCAGCATATAGACCGTCCTCGCGGAATCCGCATGGACTGCTTTGTAGCATCCTGATGCCGTATATTCGTCTACGGCCAAAGATTCAAGTCTGTTGAGCGTATGCTGCACTACGCGAATCCAACAGCTTCCACACTTGATCGCAAGTCTTAATGTTTCATTTTCCAAGCAGAACTTTGAGAATCTACATCACCATGCTTGGCCGTAAAAAGTTCGACTTGTAGATGCTACTCAAGACCCTGAAAATAAACGGGATACGACGAAGGCTTTATGTGAGTGGGAAGCCATTATCTTGCATCGCACGCTGTCATCGGCGACAAGTTCACAATCAAAGTCATATTTTCCCTACAGTCTCACGTAGAAATACCACCAGATCCATCTTTGGATTCGAAATGCACTTCTTGGAGCCATAGTCACATATGCGAGGCTTAGTTACCCTTTCCGTTGTTATCCATACGCGACGTCTCAGCAGCAGCACCCAGCCCAACACGCCCCTCGGGCAACTCATTCATTGCATCCTCCTCCTTGTCCAAATCCCTGAACTGGAACCAGAAAAGAACACCCGCAACGGCAGCCAGCACGGCCACGATACCATAGTTCCACACCAGGTACGGGTCGGTACTTAGCGGCGTGAACGCCTGACCCAGCGCCGCGGAGATGGCAGACATGAAGAGCGCGACGGCCTGGACCATGGAACGCATGTTCTTGGGCGCCTTGCTGAAGGCGTACTCGAGGCTGGTAATGCTGGCAAAGATCTCGGATAGGGCGATGAGAACGTAGGCGCCGGTCTGGGCCCAGACGAGGATGTCGACGGGTGGGCAGGCCTCGCCGTTTGGCAAGGTGCCCGAGGCGAACTGGCCGCACGCGGAGCGCTGGTAAATGTAGTATTGCAGCACGCAGGCCCAGACCATGGCCATGGAGCCCGTGAAGAAGCCAAAGGCGATCTTCTTGATGGGCGTGAAGGGGATTCTGAGCTTGCGGAGCGTCGGGTAGAGGACTAGATCGCAGAGCGGAATGAAGAGAATGAGTGCTATGGGGTCGAGGTTGGAGAGGATATCGTTGGGGAGGCCGTTGAGCTGCATCGTTGCGGCTTGGGAGACGAGGTTGTTGTTCACTGGTGATGTGTTAAGATGGGCGGGATTCGAATAAACGTGGGACGAAATTGATGACTTACGTTGGTTATACGAGAGCCAGTAGATGGGGTACCATGAGAACACAGCACAAGCCGCGAAACCACGGCGCCTATAGAGGTCAGTCAGGTATATAGTCATGCAAGATGCGCCAAAGTCATACTCACAGCTCTTCGACCCAGGCGTCGTCAAATGTCATCCACTTCGGCCGAGTCGCATCGGAGAAGTTTGAAGGCTTGACCCGCTCCCAAAAGGTTCCGTCGTGCATATTCCTCCAAGTCTTGACAGGGTTTATCGACCATCTGCCCCTCTGAGCAAAGACGAACGTCCGCAGAGCCGGACCCAAAACCGAGCCCGTCGGGGGGGTATCGCGATACCTGCCCTTCCCCCACCACATGACCAGGGGACATAGCGCCAGCATACAGGTCGGCAGTGTGAAGCTCAACCAGAAACCGACGTACTTCTCGGCATAGACCATTGAGATCTGGCCGACTAAAGCACCGACGTTGATGAACATATAAAACCAGTTGTAAACCCTGTTGATGGTGATGGCGGGGTCAACAACGACTTTTTCCCCCGTCGGGAGCGTCCGTACGATCAAGTGATCAAGCTCGAGCTGCTCCGCGATCAATGGACTGACGTTGGGTTTGAAACCTCCCGTAGCAAATCCAATTGTTCTAGTTGTGATTAGCTTGCCGAGGCTGCGAGTAAACCGGCAGTGTACAAACTTACATCATACCGATGAGAAGCGCCGACAGTGAGTTTCCGGACGGCTTGGTGATGACGGGCGGAATAGCAGCGGTGATGAGAATCAAGTGGCCTACGAGGTCGACGGCGATGGAAATGCAAATGGTCTTGTACCGTCCCCAGTACTTGTCGGCGACCCAGGCGCCGAAGAGGGGCATGAAATACTGCCAGAATTGATTAAAGGTTGTTATACCCGTGGACGCCTGCTGGCCCATTCCGAGGGCACCGGGTTGGCCATTGGGCGCTGCGCCGGTCGTCGAGCCACCTGGTAGGGGTTGCTGGATGAAGTTGGTGACTAGGCTAGATCAGTACTGTTCGGCCGTTGTGCTTTAGACTCCTTCTTGGATCAAAAACATACACTTCGACTGTTAGCCTCTTCTGCACAGTGCAGGCATCGAGTCTACTTACGACAATGACGGAGCCGTAGTACGAGAAGCGCTCGCACAGCTCGACGAAGGCGATGGTGAAGAGCTTGAAGGGAATGTGGTCCGAAACTCTTCTCAGCGTTTGCAGCTCTTCGTCGGTCGGCGCATCTGGACGCGGCTTGATACCCCTCTTCTCATCGAGAGATACATCTTCGTAATACTTCATGTCGTATGAACCATCTCTAAGCTGTGCCTCAGAGAGGGACTTGTCAATCGTGTCCCCGGCAGGCATCGTATCTTCGTCCTCACTCTGATATCAAATCAAAGAATGAGCCGTGGTCTCAAGAGAAGCAGTCGGGACGTTTTTATGAGGAGACCGGAGGATGTCCGGCCGCATTTATGGTCTTCCCCCTTCGGTCTGATGTGTGAAACGATTATAGAGCCGTGAAGAACACAGGGATAAAGACGGGAGACACATCGCTATCTTGGGGAAAGAAGGGCAAGGATTGGCTCATGATAAGGCAAAAGGCGAACAAACAGGGATTTTGGGGTGAAGATAAAACGAGTAAAGAACGGACGGACTCATAGAAAGTCGGGGGGGGGGGGGGGAAAAAAAACCCGGGGGGGGACACAGATTGGGGGGGGCAAGGTTGTCCCACAGGGGAAAGGTGAAAGAAAAAAAAAAACAAGAGGAAAACAAAGGGGGGGGGGGGGGGGGGGGGGGGGGGGGGGGGGGGGAAGATGACACGGGGGTGGAAGCAGATTGGGGTCGAGCAAGTCTTAGCTCAAGGGACAAGTGTAAGAGAAGTACAGACGAGATGGAAACCAGATTGGCGGGTATGAACCTTCGCCTGCGTCTGTCTATTGCGATTCTTGCTATAGGATAGGCCTCAGAAAACATATCAGTATCATAGGGAGGGTAGTAATCAGGCCGATTGACAATGAGATTTGTATGTGATCTCGTGCGAGCTCTTTCAGCGATTTTTTACGTCGACATTCTTCCAGAAGATTACTTAGTAGACCACTTTTCAAGACTTTTGACACCGGCTCTAGACCTATCAGATCCCGCGGTAGGCAAGCAGTACAGAAAAAAAAGTCGCTGTCGGATCCGGAACCGATCATCTGGGCGCGTCGATTTTCCGAGGGTTGGAGACATGACCTAGCCAAAGCGGGGCATTTCCAAGTGTCGGTGCCTCTCCCACAACAGCCTCATGATGACCATTATGTGCCGCCTGCCACGAACTGAAGAAATCCCCGCTCTTCGCGACATGGACCGCGAACTGAGGACGACAAGACGCGGCAAATGCAGTAGGCTCTCAGAGACAGAACAGGTGAAATGGATAAGGGAGTCTGTCTGCATCGCGTTTCGGATAACGCTGGCGGCAAAACCTTCAACCTCATGGCCCAAGGTCTAAAAGCAGTGCCGAGGATACTTAGCAGGAAGCAGAGATCGAGCGTTTGTTTTCTGACGCCTAGAGACGCTCCCGATAAAGCTAAAGTGGACGAGTAGAAAGGCTAAGTCTAATGACAAGGGAAGCGAGCGTCAATTGTTTCCTAGCCAGTGAAAAGAATAGCATGCGACAATAGCAGCGTATTTGATCTCTGGGCAGCCGACCAGCTCACGCATTCTTTCGAAGGTTTGATGTTCAAAAGGGTATGGAAGGTTGTCGTTGGCGTTCACGGGGCCGGTCCCACTAGGCGCGGGCGCCGCCGTTCAATTCCGGCTCGGCCGGAGCTGTGCCGTGCTTATGGAGCTGTGTTACATCGGGATTGATGCTATCCTCCGATGCGGCTGCGTTAGGGGGCAGCTGCCCGCCGAATTCTTGGCTACGCGCCCGTGTGGCATGCAAGACAAGGGTTTCACGCGCAGATCCATTCTCGAGGATGCGCGTGAGAAGGGCGTCATTGGTTCGCCCATTCGATGCATGTCTCTCACTTGCAAATGCGGCATCTCAACTCACGACATATACCGGTGTACATTATCAGTGTTCTCATTAATCGAGACAATAAGTCGTCTTGAGGGTAGAAGCGGGCTTGCTGCCTGCTGGGCGCTATTAAATAGTTATATAGATAGGCTTTTGGAACGGCCGAATCGGATATGCAAGAAGAGAGTAACGACAAACGCTCTGCATGCGCCTCGTCACCAAGGCCAAGGATTTCATCTCTTTAGCCATGCTACTGGACCCCAAGACCAAGGCCTCTAAGAAGCCCCCCC